CCCCCCCTCCCCCCTCCCCCTGCCCTACGCAGCCAGACCCATGTCACCAAACACACATGCAAAGACACACACGCGCAGAGGTTGTAAACGTGCCTCGTATACAGGCAGACGAGCAAGCAGGGTGGACCCGATACCAAGCAAGCACACCCGCGCAGCCATGGCAGCTTTGGCGCCGACAGAGGAGCGATGGACAGACAGACAGACACACAGACACACAGACGGACGGACAGACAGATAGCCATACACGCCGAGAAAGATAGTCGGGCACGTGCGTGCGATCAGTAAATGTAGCAGGCGAAAGGCTAGACACACAGGCAGGCAGGCAGGCAGGCAGGCAAAGAGGGACAGAGACCCAGAGAGTAGGACAGACAGACAGACAGCCCCCAATTGTGTCTGCCTTCCCGCCTGACATACGTACGTACGCACAACGCAACGCGAACTCTTGCATCGGTACCGACACATTTGCCATCCAGCCATCCAGCCATGTGCTGACTGCACGATCAACCAATCAACCCATCGACCCCTCCATCAACACGGCAGGCAGGCAGGCAGGCAGTCAGGCATACTCAACCATGTCGCACCCCGACCTGGTTGGTGAACAGACACACACACACAGACACACACACAGAGAGAGAGAGAGAGATAGGTATAGGTAGGCAATAAACCACTACGGATCTAGGCAGGATGGATGGCACACTCAAGCACTCGCCATCCGTAACCTCACGTAACTACACACATCCCATCCCATGCATTCCAACGGGCATACGCAAGAAACACCAACGGGAAACAAAACACCCACCTTGTACGCGCTTCAATACACCCAAAAGGAGCAATTCAGCAGGCAGGCAGGCAGGCAGGCAGGCAAACACCCTGATCAGGGACGGGGGGACAGCTGATGCGTGCGTCCATCCATCCATCCATCCATTCATCCATCCCCCCGTGATAGGTCCGTGTCTGCGTGTATGTGTCTCGGTGGAAAACTCTCTCGTGATTAGAGAGGGCCGCAGACCCATCACAGCACAACACCCCCTTCCCCATTGCCCCATTCATTGCCCACACCCTACCTCCCACGCGGCACGGCGCGCCTCCCTATGCTCTCGCACGTATGCAGAGGAGAAATAAAAAAGGGGATCCGATCCACGAATACTCCTATATCGTCAATTTCGAACAAACGCTTCCCACCCTCCCTCCATCCGATAGCCAATCCCCCACCTCCCACCGTCCTGTCTACGCGCCTCTGCACATGGGTTTGAGTGGAATGACCCCCACGGTCTGCACCGCCCCCTCCTGACCTGTCTCGTCCAGCGGCGTCCGCTTGGCACCCCTCGGCGATGTGTCGCCTTCCTCATGACCGTGGTGCTCCTCGCGCAGCAGCAGCTCGATCGGCAGCTCGGCTGGCTGGCTGGACGCACTTGTTGACCGACTCTCGCGCGCGTCGATGGCGGCCTCCAGTGTGTTGCCGCCCTTGCTGGGACTTCTCGGGCTTCTCTCCCTGTGTGGACGGACGGATGGGGTGGAGAAGCTGCGCATGCGGCGCAGCAGATCGAGCGAGTGCTTCCTGGCCACCTCGACCACCTCGACGCGCGAAGTGGCGGGCGGCACCGTCCCGGCGTCTGCAGGTCGTGGGCGACACAGGCCGCGGACAACACTGCGTACCAGCGAGCCGGCACTCCTGAGTGTGCGAGGGAGAGAGAAACAGACGGATGAACACAACACTGATCGATCGCTGTCCGATGGCCTACGTACCGAGTGAAGCCCCCGACGGCAGATCGTTGTGGCGTGATGGATACGCTGGCTGCTGGCGGCCGGCTGTCTCGGCTGAAGATCTCAATGGGCGACACCAGCACTCGCTCTATCGACTGTATGGATGGACGCATGAAAGGAATGTGGCAGGCACAAGCGGTGAATGAATGCTCATCTGCTCATCTGCTCGCTGACCTTGTTGAGTCTGTCTGCGACACTATCGTCAGATTCCCTGGCCTCCCGCTGCACGATCTTCACGAGCACCCCCTTGCGCAGCGTCATGCTGCCCCACAGGCCCCCCATTCCCTCACCGTTGTTACCCTTGGCCGCACACGACAGATCTACGGCGGTCGGCAACAGGCCGACGTGCATCACCTGCGCCGCCACGTGGGCCATGAGGTGGGCCGGGAGCGCCCTCACCTCCATTGTAAATGGCCGATGCGGCACCACCGAGGGCGCGTCGATCATCGAACGCTTCTTGCGACGCCAGTTGCTGATATGCATACCCATCCATGTGCACACAGACTTTAAGGGTGTGGTGGGTGTGGTGTGCTGCTGTCTCTCTCTCTCTCTCTCTCTCTCTGTGTGTGTGTGTGTGTGTGTGAATGTGTGACTTGCTTACGAGAACGGTTCGTCTGGGTGCACTGTCGGCTGGTCGGCCGACTTCTGCCAGACTCTTCCCAGCCGATCCCGCAGGACGGCCTCCCTGACGGCCTCCCTGTCCTTGCTGCAGCTGCTGTAGGTCAGCGGCTGTGTTTCCTCAACCGTCACACACAGCTTGGCCGTCCAGGGGTACCGACGGGGCGGCTCCACCTGCACACGCATCAGCACACACATCAGCGCATGCATAGATCGATGCCAAAGACAGGAAGGAGGCCGCGACTGACTCACCTTGGCGTCATATTTGATGTGAGTGATTTCGCAGCCCGCAGCGTCGACCGCGTCGGCCACGGCGACCAAAAAGCGGGCACCCAGTGGGCATGTCTCTAGCGTCACCTTGACGCTGCTGCCACTCACCCGATGGGTCCGCACGCCCTGCAGACACACAGACACACAGACAGACAGACAGGCAGACACGACAGAGCATCGCGTGAAGGACAGACAATCAAATCAGTAGCCGAGGGGCTGGATCTTTGCTGCCTATCGGCTCAACGCTCAACACTCACCAGTGTGGGCAGTGCGCTGTTGTCCCACTCTGCGTTGCTTCCTTCGCTCACTTCATTCAGATCTGCCATGGTCGGTCACAGGCGGCGCTTCTCATGGGAGTCACTACAACAGGCTCTTTTGCAAATCATAGCCGTCGCAGTCAGTCAGGCACATAAACAATGCCGCCCTTGCAGGGCTTCCCACGTCGAAAGTGGTCCGAAAGTGGAGCAGCTGCGAGCTTTCAGGTCGCAGCTGGGTGACAGCCAAAGACTAACCACTCCGCGAATGCCCCTCCCGCTCCTGAAAATCTGTACCATCAGACCACAAGCGCTCGGTAAGACAAAGATTTGTATATGTATCTGTCATTTGTCATTTGTCATTCATTCACGCACGTGCATTCCATTGCAGGCCATGAGAATGGCGGGTAGCGGCATCTTGGCTCTACTTGTGGTCGTCTCTCTGGCCACGGTCGTTGCCTTCGCCCCGCACACCCACATTCTTTCCCCTCCAAGCAGCCATCTGCCCCTCACTCGGCATCATGCCATCAACATCAAGCAACTGCCCAGGCCTGTGAAGGCGCTCTTCCGGAAGATCTTCCGCTTCAGACCAGGAAAGCGACGGTGGTTCATTCAGCAGCAACACGACTACCAAGGCCTGGCTGTGGAGAAAGACATGGACCTCGACAGCATGCGCATCGATTTCTCCATGCGGATGGAGCGCCTCCGCTGCCCGCTATTGTTCGAGGCCTTCGTCGAGCATGCGCTTCTCAACAGCGGCTGGCAGCATGGCTGGTGAGACAGACCAGCATCTGTAGCCTCAGCCATGCTCAAGGACACGGATGGATGGATGGATGTGTGTGCGCCTTGCTGACCCTGCCCACGTCTCTCTCTCAGGGACATTGAGACGTCCAACGAGGAAGACACAGAGGGCCGAATTGCTGCGCTCGCGTCCATCATCGAGATGCGGCCCATCGACCAGGTGAGTGGGTGTGTGGGCGATACATGCACACACACCCACATACACACGTGTCTGTCTGTCGTGTGCATCAATCACTCAGGAGCTCGACTGGAAGCTGCGAGTGCTTGTCGACGCACACAAGAAGTGTTGCCAAGACGATAGGGCATTCGTGGACTTCTATCAGGGCATGTGGCGCGAGCTCGACAAGGGTGGGCTGTGGACGGAGGGCACCTCCATGCACACATGAATGTTCAGCTATCGTTGATTCCCCGTGTGTGTGTGTTGTCTGTCTGTTGTTGGCTGTGCAGGAGAGCACTGGGTGGTGAACATCTGCGAGCCCGTCTACCTCACTTTGCCGCAAGAGGACTTCAACTGCGCCATGGTAGCGCTTGTTGAATGTGACTGAGCAACCAACCGAGAATGGATGTGTGTGTGTGTGTGTGTGTGTGCTGCCTCCCTCACCCACCAATCAGGAGATGATCTGCAAATCATTGGAGCTCTCGACGGAGCGGAAGCCGCTCGGCTACTTCAAGGCCATCGACATAGACGGCGATGGGGTGGCCTCGTGGGAGGACCTGGAGAGAGCCGGTCTGAAGGACCATTACATGGAGATCCTGAACCAGGCGGTTGCCGAATGGAAGGCTAGGCAGCAAGCCAATGACGCACCACAAGACAAGACGGTGGTCGGCTGATGCTGGCCACGTCTGCGACCATATGTTCAATGGGACCGAGCCGTCGCCAGTCAATGAGATCCCTCTTATGTGTGTGAGTGGCATTATGGCGCTGTGTTGGCTGGGCTGGTACAGTACAGCTGTCCTTTGTTCTTCTCACTCGTGTCTGTCTGTACAGTAGCCTGAACTCACTTTTTTCAGTCTGTCTGACTGTCTGTCTGTATGTGTGTGTCTGTGTCTGTATGTGTATGTCTATGTCTGTGTCTATGTGAGTGCACAAACACTGTCATCCTGAGTGAAGAGCTGTGTGTCCATGCTGTTTGTTTGATCTTGGCTGGCGGCAGACAAACACTGCAAACAAACAGACAAACAAACACGTCCTGCCAGCAGCCGCGATCCGAAGCTTGAGCTCGCACCCCGCGAGGAATTGCTGAAACCGCTCTCTCCACAGAATTGCTGGGAAGGGCGCGTTTGTCCATCTTCGCCGCTCTGCTCGGTGCGTCAGCTGGTATCTGGTGCCGGGGAGTGACCACTCTGTGAAGCGGGACGGCCTTGCTCGCAGAGTGACCATCGTGGCGGCCGCCAGGCCATGGAGATCGCCTTTGAGTTCGCCAGGGCGGTGATTGCCACTCTGAGCCGCCGCGTCAGCAATGGCATCCTCGAGGCTGCGACAAACCATCCCCGGTAGGCTGTCAGAGGCACCAGAAAGCGTCGAGAGCAATGCAGACCAGGCCGGCTGTTCTGTTCTGTTGGTGAGTCCAGGTTTCGTCGTGGCGTGATAAATGCGGGTCACTTGACGAATCGGATGTACGTGCAGATGAAGTATGTGGGTCGTGGGTTCACTTTGAGCGCCTTGTTCAATCCCGCCAAGGGCTTCTCGCCCAAGCCGGGCCAGACGGGCGAGGCCGCCAAGGGACGCGTAACCATGTCCGTGAAGATGCTCGAGGAAGACAAGGCACTCGAGGTAAGTGAGCCTTGGGGTAGTCGGGGGGAGGGATGACGGACGCACGACACGGCGTGGGAGCAAGCAATGGATGGATGTCTGTGTTGCAGGTTGGTGCTGACATTCTGGGTGAGTTGATAGTGCTGACCATCATGGTCAGCCTCGTCGCAGTCTCACTCAAACTCAGGTATGTAGGGACCTACACACGAAAGCAGGCAGCCTACCAGCCAGCCAGCCAGCCAGCCAGCCAGCCACACGCACCATGTCATGTATCTGTCAGGTTCATGAAGGCTGCGGAGGTGAATCGGTTGGAGCACGAGAAGGAGCGGGCCTTCGACTCGCGGCTCACCAATCTCGAGGTCCGCCTCTTCGACCTCGACCGCGACCTGCACGCGCTGCTGGACAGGATGGAGGCCCTCCACGGCGAGGCCATCGCCGCGCGAAACGACGCCAAGAAGGCGGCAGAAGACAAGACCACTGCGGGTACTGGGGGGCAGTACGAGCCGCACCGTGCATTCGTGTTCCCATCGCTGGAGGACCCGCCCGAGGGTGTGGCCGCCACCTCTCAGCCAGTGCCGCAGCTGCTGCCGTCGCTGATGCCGCCATCGTTTGTGGATGACACCGATATGGACTGGAACGAGACACAGCCGCGGCAATGGGTGGAGCCCATCGCCGTGGAGGCCGCTGCTCCCCCGTCGAGGGACACAACCAGCACCACCAGCAGCAGCGACACACGTGCCAGCAGCGACGAGTCATATCTGGTGGGCAGCAGCGAGAGACAGCGGCCCTCCCCGTCTCCCTCTCCCTCTCCCTCTCCCTCTCCCTCCCCCTCGCCGTCTCCTCCCACACCGGCCGCCTACTCCCGCGCCCCGCCCCTGTCAGCTGCTCGGTCGGTGCCGGCCTTCAACTTGTTCAACCCCTTCTTATCGCTACCCCCACTGCTCTCACACACCTTCTCATCGCTCCCATACGTCAACGTCTCGGCCGGCCACCATTCGTCGCGGCACGACGATGCCATTCGGCCGATGAACACTGCGGCGTTCTATGGGCCACTGTCGGCTGCTGCGGGTGGTGGGGAGCTGTCCGAGTGGCTGGCGGGGCCGGGGCTGGGCGTGGGGGCGGTGGGGTTTGACATCATGGGTGGACGGGGCGGGGGCTGATTGACGTGATGGGGGGAAGGGAAGGAGATTGATTTTTTCGCTCGCTCGGTTGTCGTTCGTTTGGGTGTGCCTGCTTTTGTTTGGCAGGCAGCGTGCGTGTACAAAGCTCTAGTTCATGTGATGGATGTGCAGACAGACAGACACGAGGGAGGGAGGGAGGGAGGGAGGGAGACTAATTGATGGATGGATGGATGGATGGACGGTAGTTAGTGGCCACCGCGACGAGACTACTTTTGGAGAGGAGACTGAGTCTGTTTTTCCCTTCTCTCTGCTGCCGCTGCTTTGTGTGAATAATGCGATGCTGGCTGGATGTGCGTGCGTGTGAAGAGGGAGAAGAGAAGAGAAGAGTGCCTCTTTTTGACTGTGTGTATGGTATGATGGGGTAGCGTAGGCAGTTTTCCTGAGTGAGTTTTGTCGCGACAATACACACCCATCTGTCTGTTGTCTCTGGTCGACGTGGCTTTGGTCTCCAGTGGCACCGGGGCAGCTGAATGGCGTGGGAGGAGAGATGACCCTCTCTTCTTAATGCCGTTCAGCTTCATCAGTGTCACATGAGAGCAAATTCACGTTGTCAACGAAATCGGAGCCTTTACCCCCAATCGTCGGGCTTCCATATCGAAGCCTCACACACAGGGGAGATGAATGCATGGCTGAAGGACCGACGCCCCGGTGGCGTACGAGTGTGTGTGTGTGGGAGGGCGGAGACTACTGTGTACATGTATGTCTGGGGGTGCACTCACTTTTTGGACGATGTGTGTAGACCACAATGGGTGTGAGTGTGTTGTGTATGGGTGGCTGGTAAAGAGTCACAATCAATTAATGGCGCACCACCGCAACAGACACACTGACTGACCCCTAACACAATGCATTAAGTCACAAAGCTCATGGCATTAGCCATAGATCACATTCTGTCGGTCAGGCGTCGGTCCTATCGACACGCACATCCGTAGGAAGCACTCTCACAGCCACCCCCACACAAGCAAATACGTAACTCCTAGGTGGTCGCATAGCTTCCGTAGCCCCAGACAGGCGAAAACCCGCCGCCATTGCCATAGAGCTCCCTCTCAAACACTTCCTCCCAGCGCACAAGACCGCCCTGATTAGACAGACAGACGCGAGAGAGACATGACTGACACCTGTAGCTCCATTTCACTGTCTTGATCGTACCCCTATAGTCAATTGCGTGGCCAGCTCGTGCAGCCTTGTGTCGTGTGCCGGCAAGCCGCTGACCCCACTCAGCAGCCGCAGCGTGAAGCACATGAAGGTCTGGCAGAAACACACAAGAGAGAGTGCACAGACAGAAGAGGGCGACAGAGACATCTGAGCGGTGGCTGTCGACTGTCTGTGTATGCTGTACGTACCTCCTGGTCTAATGTGTCCTCTGTCGACGTAGGAGGGCTTTGTCTACTCCCTGCAAAGCAGAAAGACGGGGCTTTTCGGTGTTTGTGAAAAAGCCATACGTGTCGCACGATGCAGCCGGCTCGCTGACCTGTCCCCTCATTATATACGCTCCGGTCCGTGAGATCCTGAAGAGACAGACAGATAAGGACAGCAGGACACTGACACATCATCCACACGGATCCTTTGTTTCCTCACCATATTCACATTTCTCATGGCCAGTGGCAGCCCCACCAGTGCCGCGAGGAGCTTGGCCGCAGGCGTGTTCTGGATGATCTGCGCCACCAGCCTCCCCTCCTCAGTCCCGACAGTGCGGCCCTCCAACACTGCCTCGATTATGTCCACGTCCATTGACAAATCCTCCGACGGATCTGAGAAAGAAACAAAGAAAGAGAGAGACACAGACAAGAAGGCTGGCCGCTGTCTTGACGTACGTGTCTCCATGGCCCCTCTGCGCTTGCCGAACATGTGCACGGCCCCTTGGCTGATGGCTTCACTTAGTTTCTGAAAGGCCTCTGTGCTGGCGACCGTGGCGTCATGATTCGCCGCGCGGCTGAGAATCCTCTGGACCTCTTCTGGACTCCTCCTTGCAAAGATGCTTCGCAGTATATCGGCTTTGTTGGCGTCAGAGACCGTGATAAGCAGCCGGACGCCGCGATCGCCATCACCAACACCAGGAGGCTGCCGTCGCCTTGTGCGTTGCCATCTCCGTCTCGTTGTGTTTGTGCCTGCGTGTTCTTGATGCCTCGTCCTTGCGCGTATGATGCGGTGATGCTGAGGAAAGGGTGACTGTGACGATGAGACGCTCAAGAACGATATAAGTTCTGCAGAATATCGTTGGTGGCGACAAGTATGGGAGAAAAGCTCGATGGGCTGTTTTGCATACCGTCCTTTGAATCGTCACTGTCTTCCTCGGGGCCAGGGGAGGGCTGTGTCTCTCCTTGCTGTGAGACACCACTTGGAGGCTGCTCTGGTGATATATCAACAGCAGCAGCTTTCATGTCCTCGCTTGACGGCTGGCCTTGAGCAGGAGCGCTGATGTCTTCAGGTCCGCTTGTCTCGGCCGTGCCGCCCTGCACACCTTCGTCTGTTGGAGCATGATCCACCAAATCAGCCCCAGTCTCCTGCTCTGGCGGCATCCCCGTAGCCGCCTCTTCTTCGTGTGTGGCCTCGGCCTTCTCCTGAGGTATCTCTTGTGGTTCATGTTGCGCTAGTGCGTCTCCTTCATGTTTCAATGGCTGGGCCTGCTCCGCCGCTATCTCTCCCTCGCGATGCTCAAAAGGAGAGGCGCCTGGCTGTCGGCCCTTGGCGGCTCTCGAGAGATGCGTAAGCTGATATGGTGTCGGGTGGATCTGCACCTTGATGTCGTGCTCGCCTTTGCCGCCGCTGCCACCCGCCTGCGCCACCAGCTCGTTGAGGACTCTCAACACACGAGTCGGTTTGATATGCTTATAGTCGGCGTAGGGGCGGTGAATGAGCACCTCTATCTCCTCTGACATACAGCAGGCAACGAGTGGCGGACACCACGAGCGGGGTGTGTGTGCGTACCGTCCTGCATGTCGGCGTACTCTTCCGGCCTGGCGTACCGCTTCCATATCCACGCTGCAGACAAACAGAACACGAAATCAAGCGAGATGCATCGATTTTCGGAATCGGGCATCGAAATTACTTTTCGGAAACGGGCATTGTTTAGATCCCCACCTCCCGGCCCCATCGCGGCGGATCATATAATGTGCCGAGTCACTGCTGCCCAGCTTGACAGGCACCACACACTCAGACAGTCCCTCGGCAATCTCATCCCGCGTCAGACACACGCCACTCAGCTCAGCCGTTGCACCCGCCAGCGATCCCGTCCTCAGCCTTTCCTCCAGCTGCTCTTGCGTGAGGTCCGGACCGCTCTCCCCCATCAGGACACACACGCGATCGGCGGGTGACTGGTCGTCTGTGTTGCATGCGTCCGCCCCAATGTCTGTGATATCGATGCCGCCACCGCCGACCAGCTTCGGAACATCCAGCGAGCAGTGATCCATGTCTGAAGAAGAGAACATACATTGACAGAGTGGGAGGTGAGGGTTGGCCCCTGTCTTTGGTGTGCCTCTCCGTCCATACGGTCGAGGGCTGCGAGTGTGCTGTGGATGTGGTCGGGGTGCAGCATGCTGAAAGCCTCGAACGAGAGGGTGTCACTACCTGAAGCTGATGCAAACGACACGGTTGACATAACACAGCCCATACCTCTGCTACCTACCTATCTGCTTCATGAGGGCCGCCCTCGCGCTCTTCTTGTCCTCCCCCAGAAGGTGCGCCAGCAAATGCAGGCCCTCACTGTAGCTGGATGGCCACTGCGTCTCCAGGCGAGGGACCTTTTCATACCATAGCAGGGCCGCCTCGATGTGGAACGTCATTACATCGCCGCCGTCGTTGCGAGATTTGGACGAGACATCCGTAAACGACACGAAGTCTGACAGACAACATGGCAAGGCAGGAGCCAACACATGATTCGGACTGCGACTGAACAGGCGCAGGACGTACCCTTTTCAGATTCTTCGTCCTGGTCCGATTCTGAGTCGTCATCCCCCGTGGATTCCACTTGTTGCTCTGTCGCACCGTCCGGAGTCGCAACAGTCCCCGCTGGACTATCCATCTCTCCCGGTGATGCTGCCTTTCATAGAAACAACATTGAAACGAGTGTAAGACTAGTCATAGGTGTGCGCCTGGCTGGCTGGCTGGCTGGCCTGCCTCATCACTCACCACAGAGTCGCTGGCGACAGAATCTCCCCCTCCAGACGATTCCTCAGGCTCAGGGGAGGGCTGCGTATCAGCGGGCCGCTCTCCTTGCTGTGAGACACCACCTGGGGGTTGATTTGATGATGTGTCGGCAACAGCTGTCGTGTTCTTTGTTGACGGCTCGCTCTGGGGCGTCCCGTCAGGAGGCTGCCCTCCCTGAGTCTCCGTGAAGCGCTCTTTGCCTTCCTCAGACTGGGAGTTGCTACTTCCTGCAGAAATGTTATGGAAGCTAGTACAATCGTGATCTGTGCATTTCATTGGCCACGGTTACGGTGTTCGATGCACCACTGAGCGTCTTCAAAGGCCAGCTCTGCAGCCAATAGTGAGAAGAGAATTTGGCATGTGGGCGGGCTGTGCGCGAAGGTCTGTGGCTTTCTCACGCCAGAACGCCTTTTGGATGAATATGACTTTCGCTGGGGATGCGTTGCACATCTTGGGGCTCACGACTTTCTGTTCTGGGGCAGCTGGATCTGCACACACAGACACACACACACACATACACACACATGAACAACGAATTCAACGACAGTCAGTGACAAGAGAAGGGGAACAGCACCTGGCATGAATATGTCGTCACTCTGCGTGAACTCTGTCTCCGTCAGCCTGTCGAACCAGGCTAAGTCTGCCGTGGCACTGCCACTGACCACCTGTTCCTCTTCTCCAGCTGCATGGCTCGGCGGGCTGCCTTCGTGCGCTTCGGGAGGTGTACTGCTGCTCGCACCATTGCCAACTGCTGCTGCTGGCGTGTCGGCATGCTCTGATTGTCCTGGTGTAGGCCGATCTTGCAGTCTGTTGAAACGTTCGTCCAGGCTGACAAAGGAAAGCTCACCTAAAGACAGGATCGATGGAAACAGCGGCAGATACGCTCATCGGCCTGACAGATTGGGGAGTACTTACCTTCACCTGATTCATCGTACTCCGTGTTGTTGACATCAGGTGGCGTCTCTTGCTCTGGAGTAAGGACTGGGGCCGGCTCCTTTGGTGGCGTCTCGCTGCCACTCGCTGCGGCAGCAGGTGGTGACTTGGCATCCGGCGGCCCTGTCTCCGTCTCTGACGGTTTCTCTTTCTCTTGAGGTTTCTCTGACACGCCTGCAATCTCGTGGCCCCCTGTGCCCTCTTGGGGGGGAGCAACTGCCTCCTCGCGATGCTCTGTGGGTTCTGATGGGATATCTTCCTTCGGCGCTTGCATATCTTCATTTTCTCCCTCATGGCTTTCCAATAGCGGCTGCTCGAGTCATCTCAGAGATGCTCCTTCTTCCTTCTCCTCTCCGCCGAAGGACTCGTGGAAAGTCCTCTTGAATCGCTCCAGTGCTGCATGATACGACAAACACCAATCGATCTTCCAGCAGTTGGAGTGGCAATCAACCAGCAGAGACGTGTCTCACTCGTGTGTCGGCCGTGTTCGAGATTCTCCTGGAAGAATCGAAGAATGCTCTCGTACCTCTCGGGATGTGCTTGCACGCAGGAAATATAGCAACAGCTCCCCCACAAGCGCTTATTCGTTTTTGAGCTTACTGAGGGCATCGCAGCTGGAGTGACGAGCCCCCAATGCGGCCGTCGTATTTATCACGGACAGAGCCTTCATTACAGTGGAGGGCGAGAGTGTCGCTGACGCTGCCATCCTTGTCCGAGTCGCATCGTGCTTCCGGCTGGTGCTGTCTCTGTTGACGAAGGCACCTGCCGACCGCCCACCCGACAGATGGCCGTCTGCTTCGATGTCACTCCGGTAGTCCGCTGACACATTTCACACAAACACACACACACGCACACAGAGACATCTTACCGTCACGCCACAACCTTTGGCTCGCGTGTGTCATTTTCGAACCTGTCTCATTCGTGATGTCCGCCAGCACCCAGCCGCAGTCGCCGAACCCCTCTGCCTCCAGTGTGTCCCGCGCGCGTATCAGACCCTCCAGCAACTCCATGCCGTCAGTGCCATTGGTCGATTGGGGATCTTCCTGGATGGAAAAATACACCTTGGTTGTCGCCTCGCTCTGATTGCGATTGCAGGTCGTGGCACCAGCAGCGGAACCCTCTTCGTGAATGGCTATGTGTGTCTTGTCGAGCCTCCCTGCGTTGAAACTGCCTGTGTCGTCACTCATCTTCAGCAGAGTGCCCAGCGCATTGGCGAAGTTGTCGAGGACGATCCGTCGGTCGGCTTCTGTATCCTGGGTGGTGATGGGAGGGGCGACGGGGGAGATGGATGGACGGCTGCGATCGCATTGCTCTCGCAAGTAGTGCAAGGAACCATCCAAGGAGATGGCACCTGGACACAATAAGACAAGCCTTTGTTTTGTGTGTGTCTGCATGGAAGAGACAGACTGTCACCTTTGGCTGGCCTGTGCGACCGTGCAGCCTTCGTCACGAGCAGCTCCTACAAACCGACACACATACGATGCATTGACAAGCACACTGATATGAACTTGGTTTACTCGGTAGACATCGGCCAGCATGGCTTCAAGCTGATATATCTGTTTCATCTGCTGCTCAACCGCAGCCTCAGACACGACGCCCCGCTCGCACCTGCCGTACTTGATCAGTGTGACAAAGGCGAGCACCCCGCGAGCGAATGCCTGCACTTAGCATGTGTGCGAATCCTCCAGAGGACTCTGCACTTCCTTTCCTGCCAGCAGGCTTACGGAAGCGCTGAGTACTGCCTCTGGGTCGACACGAGGGTCCTGTATGTTGCACTGGGGCTGCCCCTGTAGCATGAAAGCCAAACTCGTGAAGTGGAGACGGCGCGCCTGGTTGAAGTTGGAGAGGACTCGTGCGGCGAACTGGCTCATGCTGGCGGATCGCGGGAACAGACTGTCGCCTTGAGACACGCGAGTGTGGCGCTCTGGTGCATCACACAACCACCGCTGCTTGTGTGTGTCTGTGCGTCTTCCGCTGTTCGTACCTTGAGCTAGTTTCTTTGCTGCCGTGTCTCCCAGCCTTTCATATCTCGTGCAGCACTTGCCCAGTGGACCTTTCGGTGAGCAGCCGGCGTCAGCAGAAGGACAGACGGGCGTGTGCCACTCACATTGCCGGAATGACTCACACCAGTCGCGATCAAGGATCACCCTGCCTGATCGAGTGGGTCACAACGATCGTCTTTGCAATTGTGTGTATCGCCCGCCGTTGTGTGTGTGTGTGTGTGTGTGTACCTGAGAGGGGATCTCGGCACGGCTCACAAGTGACGTCTTTGCATTTGCCCATGGCAGCAGCCTCGCCTTCGCTGCTCCCGGTGATGTCTGATCCGGACAAGATTATGAATGTGTCGGCACACCGTGCCGCACCGTGTACGCAGCACGTGAATGGTACCGTATTTCAAGGATCTGGTGTCGAGGCCGTGCTCTTTGAGGCTTTTTTGCATTCTTTTCTGTGGCGACGGCTCACTGAGGATGCGCTCAAGGGCTTTGACGTCCATGTTGTGCCTGGACCCGGTGACCTTGACCTCCATCTTGACAGCCACGGTCTGATTGCCGGCATCGTTGAAGACATCAGTCACACCGGCCACCTGCACCTCCCCCACAGGGCCATACGCCAACAGGGCTTTCATCAGACCGTCCTTGATGAGCTGCTTCTGCTCTTCCGTCAGTTTGGGGGCGTCGTTCGCAAGGGAGAGGAAGATCATGTGGCCGTCATGGCCATTTTCCCTGTCTGCCATCGCTCCGTCTCTTTCCAGCAGTGAGACGGACACGACGGCCGTGAAGAAGGCTGCGTACAATGAAGAAGAGGAGGTAAGCTGAGGCTCTGAATGCACCTGCTTATCGCTCACGGAATGTCTTGTCTTCGTGGTCATACAGCAGTCCCAGCCGCTCCGCGTCGACTCAAGCCCGGGAGAATCGCTTGTTCCACTCACTGTCTGGCCGACACACAATATTTCGCAAATGCCCACAGAAAACGGCAGTGGGAGATGCGTCAATCAACACAGAGAGAGACACGTCGTGTCCTTTTACTTTCAGAGAGGCGAAAGCAGTTCACTCCGGGCCGATAAGTGATTAAGAAGAAGGTATGGCCTTTAGTGTTCACTGCTGTATCAGCCGCTGTGGCGACAAGCAAGAGAGGACACAATGAGGAACACTTATCTACTTATGTTGTGTTCCTACCGCTGTGATGAATATCGCAGGTGATGTTCACACCAACTTGACTCTCTCCCTTCTTCACTCCGTGTCTCTTCTTCACGTTCTCTCTTATGGCATTAACAATCGCGTTCGAAGTCTCCTCATGAATATCTCCTAGTTGGCTTAGCCACCACTCCGCGGGAAAAATTGGCTCTTCGTGGTTCAGTTGGCGGCCAGGCACTTGATAGCTTACTACGACGTGTTTCTCAACAGCACCCTCCTCGGCCTCCGCCTCGCCGGCAGGGTGGATGCGGATCACCGAAACATCAGTGATTCGGAAAGCGCTCTGTGTGAATCCGATGCTTCTCAGGTAGTTCGCCAGGCTTCGGTGTTCTTTTGGGGCTTCCTGTCCGCCAGGCACCACATAGGTGCCTAGCGACCAGGAGGCAACGTGCTTCTCTACAAAGGTGCCCTCCCGGGCAGCAGGATGGTTGTGGGTTTCTTCGTTTGCTGGCGGCTCGACGTGTTCGGCCTTTTTTTCGCTCTCGTGTTCGGCCATCGCTTCGGCTGTCGTCTTCTCCCCCTCGGATGCCGTATGCTTGCGGGCCTCTTCGTCCACCGGCGCTTCATGAGGTCCGGCCGCCTTCTCTCCCCCATGAGTGGCCGTCTTCTTTTCGCTCTTGCGTAGCCTGACGGCGTTCTCGATCGCTTGGCGGACGATGGCAGCCACGTCGTCATCTTTGACGGCGGGTGAGTGCACATTCACCACCATGTAGCCTATGAATGGATCCTCGCGGTCTGAACAGCATTCTCAGTCCATTCGCCGCTCGTCTTGCATTTCGATGTGATGTCAGTGGTCACCAGGCATGCACTCGCAGTTGGTGTGTGGGTTGGTCTTGTCTTTGCAGATGCAGCTCAAGCCGAGAGGACATTCAGGAGCGGAACGGCCCTCCTCTCGATTGCACGACTTGCCTACAAGAGACCCAAACCACCACCTCAGAACGCTTGGGCCGCTGGGATGACAGCTGACGCCTACCTCTGAACTGAGATGACAGCGCCTGTGGGTAGCGAGTCGCACATGTGCCTAAGCCCAGCTGTGTCTCGATGCGCTGTCTTTCGACGCAGTAGCCCTGCAACGTGCGCGCCCGAGGTCAGCGAAGTGTTTGAACTGCAGGTATTGGGACAGCCGCTGGCCGTAGATGGTCTTGCTGATGGAGCTGACGGTGTTGCGGGAGTCGCCAAGGACACAGTAGGCGGTCTCACTGTAGCAGTCCCCTCTCTGGATGACCCCATCTGAGACAGTGACTTGGCAGGGGACGAGGCCTGCATGCAGTCAAACAGACAGGTGGCCGAAAGAGAGACATCATGTCTGAACGCTTGTTTCCGTGCGTCTCTCGCTGCAAGTGCGAGCAGGACCAGCCAGCTCGTTGAGTGTTTCGACAATGGTGTGCTCGCCAAGTGCCTCCATCACATCGGAGGATCTAACCTCCGGGCCGCCCCCGTTGTGTTGGCCAACTTCTTCTGGTCTCGATGGGTGTGCGTGCACATTCTCATGCTCTTCATGACTTTCCAATGGCGGCTGCTCGTGCTCCGAGTGGGACTCTGGGCTTCTACTGCCATGAGTCTCTCCTGCTGTGGCAGTGCCGCTAGTGGTAGCCTCTCCTTCCCCCACATGAGTCGGCGGGCTGCCTTCGTGCGCTTCGGAAGGTGTGCTGCTGCTCGCATCATTGCCAGCTGCTGCTGCTGGGGTCTCGGAATGCTCTGATTCTCCTGGTGTAGGCCGATCTTGCAGTCTGTTGAAACGTTCGTCCAGGCTGACAAAGGCATCATCGTCTGCAGACAGGATCGATGGAAACAGCGGCAGATACGCTCATCGGCCTGACAGATTGGGGAGTGCTTACCTTCCCCTGATTCATCGTATTCCGTGATGACATCAGGTGGCGTCTTTTGATTTGGAGAAGGGACTGGGCCCGGCTCCTTTGGTGGCGTCTCGCTGCCACTCGCTGCGGCAGCAGGTGGTGACTTGTCATCCGGCGGCCCTGTCTCCGTCTCTGATGGTTTCTCTTTCTCTTGAGGTATCTCTGACACGCCTGCAGTCTCTTGGTCCTCCGTGCCCTCTTGTGGGCGAGCAACTGCCGCCTCGCGATGCTCTGTAGGTTCTGATGAGATATCTTCCTTCGGCGCTTGCATATGTGCATTTTCTCCCTCATGGCTTTCCAATGGCGGCTGCTGAAGCTGCGCTGACGCTCCGACACCCTCCTCCCTCAATAGCGCCAGCAACGCCTGATGCTCTTCGCGTAGCTCTTCCTTTGCAGGCAGGGCTGCGGCCTCCTCTGCATGGAATAGGAGGAACACATCAGAGGGCGTATGTATGCGGCCCAGACTCAGACCGTTCCTTCCCGATGGTGTTTCTATACGGAGGTCTCTACTTACTCTTCAGTCCATGGTTCATCACTGCCATCAGCTTCAAAATCTCATAGTCGCTCATCCTGGTCAGCTGCAGGCCCCCCTGAGGCCCGAAGGGGTTGACCTCGCCCCTCTCGTCCTGCTGTCTCCAGTTGCTCGGCAGCAGCGGAGGCTCGCCGGCCACCTCCATGTACCATCTGCCGAGGTCATGCACTAGGTCACGGAAATCTCGCAAGCTGTAAGCTGCATCAGAGAGAGGGATTGATGGGACTGGTTACCATGGAGAATATTCGCTTACAGTCGGCTCCAGCAAAGACCAAGCGGAACGTCATCTCCCTCAACTCGTCCCCGTGCGCCTCTCCCTTTGTCGGCCCAATTCCTTCCGGTCTCGGTGGATGCCCGTAGCTATCATCGGCAGCCTCGGCCCCCCCTTGTGTCTCGTGGTGCTCCGTTACTGTCGTTGTCTCTTGCTTGACTTCTTTTGAGACATGTTCTTCCGCCGAGTGCAGCTCTGCGCTTTTACCGCCATGGGGCTCCTCTGACCTGGCATGAGCCTCCCTCTCCTCCTCTCGCCCGGCATGACTCAGTGAGGGACCTTCGTGTGCTGCGGGGGGTGTATTGCTGCTGCTGCTCGCTGTATTATTGCCAGCTGCTGCTGCTGGGGTCTCGGGGTGCTCTGATTCTCCCGGCGGAGGCCGGTCTTGCAGTCTGTTGAAACGTCCATCCAGGCTGACAAAGGAAAGCTCACCTAAAGACAGGATCGATGAAAACAGCGAGCAGATACGCTCATCGGCCTGACAGATTGGGGAGTACTTACCTTCACCTGATTCATCGTACTCCGTGTTGTTGACATCAGGTGGCGTCTCTTGCTCTGGAGTAAGGACTGGGGCCGGCTCCTTTGGTGGCGTCTCGCTGCCACTCGCTGCGGCAGCAGGTGGTGACTTGTCATCCGGCGGCCCTGTCTCCCTCTCTGACGGTTTCTCTTTCTCTTGAGGTTTCTCTGACACCCCTGCAGTCTCTTGGCCGTCCGTGCCCTCTTGTGGGCGAGCAACTGCCGCCTCGCGATGCTAAGCGGACTCCGACGGTTTTTCTTCCCCCGGATGTTCGGGCTGCTTTGGCGGTGCTCCTCTCCTCTCCTCTCCCCCATGATTCTCCATCAACGGCTGTTCGGGCTGTCCTTGCGGTTTCTCTCCGTGTCCCGCTACTAGGGTCTCGACGGCGCGTTCTATGTCGGTCAACAGCCTCTTTGCGGCGCTGTCATCATATTTTTTTCTCCAGGCCATCGAGTTGCTTAATGCCGGCATCGCACGCTGAAGACCATTAAGCAAGGAAGAGACATACAATCATTGGACAAATAGAGATTTGGCATCTATTGGCATGATGGCTTACATACATTGTCCCCTGAGGCAAGCTGCTGCCGTGTGGATGACGCGTGACAGGTCCTCCGGCGCTATTCTGTCTTTGTCGTGTCCCTCCTTCCCCTCCTTTGTCGCCAGCCTCTGTCTTAAGAGCCGAAGAATTTCAAAGTATGCCGGCATAGGATGGGCACGCACCTCCCCATGGCCCCCCTCCTTTGTGAGCCGAACCCCCTCTGGTGTCGGCGGATGTTCATGTTGATAAGCAGCCTTCATCTCCGGGTGTTCCTCGTGGTGCTCCGTGAGTTCATGCTTGGTTTCTTTTGCGACATGTTCTTGTTCCGGGTGTGCCACACCAGACTGAGTCTCCCCGTTCGTGGCACTGCCGGTAACCACACTCTCCTCTTCTCCCAGAGCATGAGTCGGCGGGCTGCCTTCGTGTTCTGAGAGGCGCGTGCTGGTGCTTTCTGCGTGCCCGCCAGCTGCGGCTGGTGGCGTTTCGGAATGCTCGGCACTGTCTCCAGATCCAGGACTGTTGGCACCTACACGAACAAGAGCGCAAAGGACGAGCCGGGCGCATAAGCCGGGGTGATTGTCTTTTATCTTACCATCAGAAGGCTGACGTGTGACGTTGATGAACCCCCCTCTCGTCCGCCATTGCACCGTGACTCCGCGAATCGTCTTCGCCCTGTTCGCAGCTTGCAATGCGGGAAGGGCGACAGAGCGGCGGTGCCGCGTCCCGATGCGTAGGACGCCCTGCCGGCGCAACCGTATTGCGGGATGAGCTGACGATGCCGGCGCTTCAAATGCGTGGGGAAGGCGGCGCAATTGGCTGGTTCGCATCGACACGGCCAGCGACGCAAGAAGCACTTGAGCAGCACTGACCAGCGCGAAGAAGCGTGATGAACAAGCCTCTGCAGTGACTGGGAGGGACAGCATCTCGATGGCCAAGGAGAAGACGCACAGTTGGCGCGTCAGCTGCCTCATCTGTTTGAGACGCAGGGGGGGCAGCCCCCCGCTACATGCGAGAGTTGTGGCTCCGTATGTCCGTGAAACAAACACCAACCGTCGGTTGATGGCTACGATGGATGCCCAGCGTCTGGCCGAGCAGCGGCTGGCTGAACACTTGAGCCCTCGTCGGCTGAGCATTCACCGGCCCTGCCACTACGTCTCCAGTGACCCCTCGTCCATCCTGTTCAACCGGCACTTCAACAAGGGCACGGCATTTACCGACACCGAGAGAGAGCGACTCCAGATTGAGGGCCTCCTTCCAGGCACGCAAACACTCACGGAGAAAGATGGAGTGAGGGTCTGTCCTTGTGTGCTAAGCCTTGTGTTTGTGTGTGCAGGTAAGGAGGAGGATATCGAAACCCAGGTCAGGAGATGTTACAAGCAGTTCTGCCGCCTCAAGAACAACATTGCCAAACACATCTACCTCTCCTGTAAGCAACAAGTCAGAGACAGCGCTCTTGATCATCGATCATGTTGTTCCTTCTCTGATCAGCCCTCCGGGAGCGTAGCGATGTGCTGTTCTACAGGGTAAGCAAATGAGACAACCACGGCAGAAAAACACATGTACTTGGCCCACAATTGCATTTGTCAGATGATCATGGACAACCTGCAAGAAATGCTGCCAATCATCTATACCCCCACCGTCGGACAAGCCTGCCTCGTAACCCCACGCACACTCCCACATCGTGGCAGGCCTGATGCTGGTCTTCTCCCTCTGTTTGCAGGAGTTTGGTCTCAACTACCGCAACGCTGAAGGCATGTACATCGGAGAGCGTCACTGCGGCCGCATTAGGGAGATACTCAATAACTGGATGCCCAACATGCGCGACGAGGTGTCCATCATAGTCGTCACGGACGGCTCGCGCATCCTCGGACTCGGCGACCTCGGCACATGCGGCATGGGCATCCCCAGTAAGCAATTTTGCACAGACGATGAGACGCTTTTGTTGTTTTACTTCACCATTTTGTGCAGTCGGGAAGCTGGCTTTGTATGTGGCTGCTGCTGGGTTTCACCCGGCGACGACATTGCCTGTGGTTTTGGATACGGGAACCAACAACGAGGAGCTGCTCAAGGTGAGGCCAATCATCACATCACATCACATCACATCACATACAGAGAGAATGACTTCTGCCTACATTGTGACGTGTCAACTCACTGTGAGGATGAGTTCTATCTCGGCGCGAAACACCGCCGCCTGGCAGATGCGGAGTTTTACCCCTGGTTTGGAATGAAATAGAGACAGGGAGACACGGTTTCGTGTCTCGATCGACGCGCTGGTCGATGTCCTTTGTTTATGTTGACGAGTTCCTGATGGCGGCTGTGGACAAGTGGCCAAATGCGTTGGTGCAGTTTGAGGACTTTACCAACGATCACGCCTTCCCACTGCTGGAGAAGTACAGACATCGCATCCTCTGTTTCAATGACGACATACAGGTATGCAGCCAGTCGGCCTGGCACGCTCTCTTTTCCACGCAGGCGCACAGGCAGGCAGTCCGTGTGTGTCTGTTCAGGGTACGGGAGCGACCATATCCGCGGCGTTTCTCAACGCCATCCGGCTGGCCACCAAAGTCAAACCCAAACACCACCGCATTGTACGCGAGCAAAAACGCGTGAAAAGACCCGGAAAACCGACCAAAAACGCCGTTCCCACTGTTTTCTCTTTCTTTTCTCATAAAGCTCTTCTTCGGTGCCGGCGCAGCTGGTATGTATGCATGTATGTTCGGCGCTCTCTCTCTCTCTCTCTCTCTTGCCCACATGGTGTCGTGTCCCTGCATGGGCTGTGTGTCAGGTTGTGGCGTGGCGATGTCGATATGTCAGCTGCTGCAGCTGAGACACAAACTCACATTTGATGATGCCAGGAAGTGAGAGGCACAAGGAAGGCCTCAAACACCAGGCGGCGGGGACTGTGTGTGTTTTTTCCCTTGCGGATGATCTACATGATGGACGTGAATGGGTTGCTCGTCTCGTCACGTGAACCTTTGCATATCTGATGTCGGCTGACCTCTACACTGAGCGTGCTGTTTTTGGCATATCTTCTTTTGATGAAGGCGACGACTTATTGGAATTCCAGAAGCCATTTGCTCGCCACGACATCAAAGAGGTCGGCTGATCAGCCGACATAGATGGATGGACGGATGGATGGATGATGTGTGCGTGTGTGGCATTCATCGTCTGTCTGTCTGCGTGTCTGTCAGCCGGTGAAGGACCTGCTTGAGGCGGTCAAGATGGTGCTGCCGACGGCGCTGATCGGCCTGTCGGGCCAGGGGGGCGCATTCACTGACGACGTCATCGAAAAGATGCAGGAGGTCAGCCAAGCCGTCACATGACCCCCCCATTTGTGTGTGTTTGTGTGTATGTGTTTGTCATCAGCACACGGAGCGGCCGATCATCTTTCCGCTGAGCAACCCGACCAAGAACAGCGAATGCACCGCTGAGCAGGCCTTCAGCATCACCGACGGCAGGTGCATATTCGCCTCAGGGTCTCCATTTCCCCCCGTCACTGTCGGAGACAAAGTCTATCAGCCCAGCCAAGGGTACGTCCGTGCGGCATTGACACGAATGAAGAGGCAAACAAGCCTTCACCCTTGGTCTGTCTGTCTGTCTGTCTCAGGAACAACATGTATCTGTTTCCCGGTGTGCTTTGGGAGAGACACAGAGAGAAATGAGGCACAAGGATGCTTCTCATCGATCCCCTCGTTGTGTGTCGCTGTGTGTGATTTCTCGAAGGTCTTGGTTATGGTGCGTGGTTGTGTCGCGCAAAGGAAGTGTCGGACCTCATGATATCCAACGCCGCTTCCGCACTCGCTGACCTGGTCACTGAGGTGACCCTCACACACCACTCCATATTACATGACACCACACAAGGCTTGTGTGAATGGAGGGCATTATATATCGGTGTGCAGGAGGATCTGGCGAAGGGTCAGCTGTTCCCGACTCTGAGCAACATCCGTGAGACGTCGGCCAAGGTGGCCACGAGGGTCATTGAGACGGCGATCGAAGAGGGGCTGGCGCGGATCAAACCGCAGGCTGACATCATGGACACGGTCAAGCAAAACATGTACTCGCCGTTCTACCTCGAGTGGAAGCCCCAGCCCCGCCACCGATTCGGCTCCCACATGGTCAAGGAGCTGCACGAGCTCGTGGACCCGCCTACGCCAATGGGCGGCGAACAAGGAGACCTTCTGCCGACACATCATGAATGAGGCTCTGGGCTGCGTGTCGCTGCGTGTGTGTGTGATGTCGGTGTTTTCCAGAGACATCGCAGCAATGCATGGGGACGACCAAAAGGCAAAGAGGACGCACAGTCATTCAATTTTCGTCAACGGTCCATCGGTGATCGACGGAGTCTTTGCCTCAACAGACATCCATCCATCGGTCCACCCACCCACAGATCTACCGACAGACAGCTGTGCTTCTATCTATCTACGTCTGACACACACACACGCCAGCCAGCTAGCTACCTGGGCACTTTGTCAGTCAGCCGGCCCCGCCCTCTCTCTCGCCCTTGTCGCTCCCCCCCCACCCCACCCCGGTATGAGCTGCCGGATTTTGAGTTTGCGCGTCACTCCCGCCGTGTGACCCTCGACATACGTGTACTGCACCTTCATGGCTGGCTTGGCCTGGCTGCCACCGAGTGCGGCCTCGTAGGACCGCTTGGATCCCACTGACGATGGCTGTGACGCTTCCGGCTGGCTCAGCCCCTTCTCGGCCAACTCACGCTTCTGTCGCATCCTGGAAGGAAATGGGACATCACATCAGCCAGTGCAGTGTGTGTGCCCTCGCCGCAATCAATCAATCAATATCTCTTCTCTGTCCCATATATATATTCTTCCCTCCCTTACTTGTCCCGGAAGTTTTGCTGCGCCATGGCTATCAGCTCTTGTGGCGAGGGCAGGCCCCCCTCGCCCCTCTCGGACACCAGCGACCGCCGGCACGACGACGCACCCCCGCCAGCACCAGACAGACGCACGGCCCTGCCCGTGGGCCGCCGCGAGCCGGGCGCGGCGGCCCCGCCCTTGTCGCTGTCCTTCTCTGCAATGTCGGTCTTCTTGTCGGTCATCTTGACGCGCTTGAGGAGGATCCGTGGGGTGAGCAGCTGCGCCAAGCGCGACTCGACGGTGAAGGCGCGGGCGTATGGGTGGTGGTCGCCTGTGGCATTGTCTTTGTCCTTGTCGGTGTGTGTGGGCTGGTGTGTGGCGTGGGGGAAAGTGGACAGGAGGGAGAGTTCGGGCTCGAGACGGTAGTGAGCGTCTGGACGGGCCACCGCACGGTGGGGACTCTGATACACACACACACACAGACAGACCAGCAGCGAAAGCCTTCTTTGCCGAGTGGGGGCGGATGGTGGGTGAGTGGGGGCCAGGCCACCTGGTTGAAGAATGGGGATGGCCGCTTGCCACCGTGTCCCTCGTTTCTCCTCGGGACAGTGGGGCAGGTGGAGGGCTCGCCGGTGTAGGCCAGTCCGAAGGCCGCCATGACGCCGACGATGTGCTGCAGGGTGGCCATGGGCGACGAGGGGTCGTAGCGGTCCGATATCAGCCACGTCGCCGACTTGGTCGAACTGCCCAGATGACCGTGTGGACCACCTAATTAACACACATGTGGCACACAAACACACACACACACACAGAGAGAGAGAGAGAGAGAACAAGACCACCATCTACGCCTGTTGCTCCCCTCCCCTCATCCACCCGCTCACCCAGTGCGATGTTCTGGTTCCTGAACCAGCTTGGGTGCGTGGCCTCCTTGCTGGGCAGCACAATGTCCACCACATGCGGTGCAGTCGTGTACGTGAAGTCGCGGCTCATGACACCTCTGGCCAGCACGGGCAGGCACTTGTCCACCACGGCGTGCGGCAACGCCTGACGCGCGCGACGCTGCGGCCGCGCGTGGATGTCGTCGAATGGAGGCAGGAACCTTGGGAGGTGGCCGAGGGCGGTGCAGTGGGTGGTGGCGTAGAGAAGGGGCGACAGCAGGCCGTACGCGTGGAATAGCGGCTGACATGGAGGGAGGGAGAAAATGGGCATCGGATAGATGGGATGGGTGTGTTTGGGTGGGTGGGGGGCTTGCGTACCTGCTGCCGTCTGAAGGCGGCGTTGCCGAAGACATCTCCCTCGGCGAGACGGGCTGGACAACACACACACACACACACACAGAGAGAGAGAGAGACCTGTTGCTTGCTCTCTCCCCGGCCTCACTCATAATCTCTGCCGTGTGGCGCAGCAGCGGGTCAGAATAATCCACCTGCGCACACACACATCCATCCATCCAGCCATCCAGCCATCCAGCCATAATGCCTCCCCGCCTCCCCGCAGCCATCTCATCTCACCTTGAGCAGGTTTTCGGTGAAGACGGTGGCGTATGTCTGGTAGTCCAGGGCGCCCGTCTCGAGGGCCACCTGCTTGATCACCAGGTCGGCCCGCGACGCTGTCTGGGACCTGCCACTGACACCCATCATCTGACGCAGCTCCAGCGGCAGATTCTGCGACCTGCAGAGAGAGGGCACATAGCAGTCCGGCCATGTGGTCTGTGTGAGTGTGTGTGTGTATGGGATGTCACGTGGTGGGTCTGAAGACGGTCTTGGCGAGTTCTATTTCGCTGAGTGTGCGGTCCTTGCCGCCAGTGAGCGCCGCCTCGCCCATCTGCCGCAGGTCGTCCAGTGTCACATAGGAGCCGCCGCCACGGCGCCTACACCCACCCCACCACACCACACACGCACAGAGACAGATTGACGCACAGACACCTTTGTGTGTTGTCCTTCCTGTCTGTCCTGATGGTGCACCTGGCCAGCAGCTGAAGGCTGTTGATTGCGGCGCGTATGTCGAGGTTGACCATGCGGGCGAGGTACTCGAGCGTGGTCTTGTCTACGGCCACGCCCTCGCTGTCGCTGATGTGCTTGAGGCGGTCCACCAGACGGCGGAGGCCGCCTGTCTGCACCTGGAACACCTTCACCTTGTCGCGCAGCGGACGCAGCGCACGCGCGTAGATGTCGTTGCAGATACAGATTATCGGCCTGCATGTGTGTGCAGACATTGGGCGTGCACCTGCCGTGTCGTGTGTCATGTGGTCGCACCGTCTGATGTAGGATGTGTTCTTGCCCTTGATCTTGCGGTCCAACAGTTTGAGTATGGTCTCAACGGCCTTGCAGGAGCTGCCCGGGCCCTCGGCGGTCTCTTCGCCACCGCCCCCTGCTATGCCGTCAATCTCGTCCAACACAAGAATGGTCGGCCTGCATCGCATCCATGGGAGAGGGAGGGCGTCGCGTGTCTAGATGGCTCTGTCTGATTTCGGCTTACTTGCCCTCCATCGTGGCGCACGTACAGACGCCCTCGATCTTTTTGCTCAGGGTGGCTGCCGTCCGGTCGTCGCTGGCGTTGACCTCAAAGGCAGAATACCTGAACCACCACACACATAAGGTAAGGACACACACACAAGTGAGGAAGGAGTGTGCCGTGTGTTGTGGAGTGCACAGGGGGCAGCGGACCCGCAGTGTTTGGCTACGATATGGGCGAGCGTGGTCTTGCCCACACCAGGCGGACCGGCCAGCAAGATGGCCTGAACGGCAAAGGGATGGATGGGATGTCAACGACGCCGCTGCCTTCCGTCCAACTGACCTTATAGTCCGCGGCCTCCTTCTCCTGATACCCTCCTGCAAACAAACCACCCACCCCCCCACATCACACAAGTAGGGCCCCACACACGCACGGATGCCATCCCTGACGCACCTTTGCCCGCTGCGTCATAGGGCGACTGCTTCTGGTAGATGTTGCGGCGGTCCGGCTGCTGGTGCTGCTGGTGTGAGGAGGCACCTGTGGGAGCGGGATGGGGGCGCTTGGCGTATCCTGGGTCGAACCGCTCGGGCGTCCACTCCATGACCCACTTGAGCACCTCCCTGTTGACTATGCCGTCACTCAGCAGATCGATGAACCTACACACACACACAGATGAAGCACATGGCGATGTGTGTGTGGGTGGGTGGGTGGGTGGGTGGGTGGAGGGTGGGTGAGGTGAGTGCTGTAAGGTCACGATCTGGGTCTGTATTTGTCGACCCACAGCTGGTCGTCCGAGCCCTTCTTGCGTCGCCTCCTCTCACCCTCCTGCAAACAGCCACACACACAAGATTGTCAGCCCTCACCCACACCACACCACACCACACCCACCTTGCCCACCTTGCGATCCTCGTGTGGTGCATCGCTTTCCGCCGCGCCATCCCGCTGCTCGCGAGCCCTGTCCTCGTCACACTGCCTGCAACCCACCAGCATACACCGTCAACGTCATTCCTTCGGCTCACCAATTCGCTCACCGGATCAGCTCTGCGATGGGCACCTTCAGGAGGGATCTGCCCCTTCCCTTGCCCCCGACCGCCCGGCCCCCCTCCTCCTCGCCCTCGTCCCTCTCCGGCATCAGTTTGAGGTAGTATGTCCGCCAGGACTCCTCCGACCCGCACAGCCGCACACACTCGCCCAGCGGCGCGTCCTCGTACACCATCTCACACTCACCCACCGGCTCACCATCACCGCCGCCCATGAGATCTGCGTCGAGCCCGCCGTCATTAATATCGTTGTGGTCGTCGAAGTCATCTTCCTCCTCAGGACCCGGGCCGCTCGCCTGCTGATGCTGAGGCTGCGATCTGCGCCGGCTGGGCTCAGCCGCTCCCTCACCCTGCTGCTGTTGGTTCTGGGCATCTTGGTCCATCTCTCTGCGGATGAACGAGTCCACATCTGGCTCTGAATGCTGCTGCTGCTGCTGCTGCTGGCGTGGTGGAGCGACGGCAGCGGAGGGAGGGATGGGCTGGTCGGCATGGTCAGGGATGCTGTCGAACGCGCCCTGAAGGAGCTCATCTTGGTCGACAGTGAAGTCGTCCCACCGATCATAGTCGTCCATTGGCAACACACAGGACGTGTTGAGGAAATGATGTGTCGGCCCGCAGATGGATAACCTCGGCTATAGCCGATTGGTTACAGGACGGACCTTCCCTCGGAAGTTTACCTTGAAGTTTACATGAACGGTCTGGTACCTCAATGCGCCCTCTCCCACGTTCACAATGAGATCGGGAGGGATGATGCAATGGCATTTCCAAACTGGTGTCCCTCTCACGATCCTGCTGGTGTCCCTCTTGCTCCCCCTCGTCTCACCACAACCGTTACCGCAGACTGAATCCCTTCTTCTCTCCCTGCCTGCCCCATTCCCCACCCCTGCCCTTGACTGCGATGCCAAGGGAGTCGGCTTGGTCTCCTGTCTTGCCCCGCTTGGACCAGTTGGGGCGATAGAATGCGCCAAGGACCTCGTCAATGCGGGAGCGGTGGGTCTTCTTGGTGGTTTCGCTGTGACAGGTGCGGACACTTCGGAGGGCAGTGGTGCAGTTGAGGCAGTGATTGAGGACGTCATCAAGAACCCATTTGTCGACGTGATACGGGCGCAGTGCGAGTGCTACACTGAGCAGGCCACTGGGATGCTGGGGCAGCCGGCCAAGGTGTGCGAGTCAAGGCTGTGCCTCCTGACTGGTACGTGGGCATATGGACAGACAGATCAGCCTACGCATCATGAGACTCACGTGGATGTGCGTGTGCACCTTGTTGCTGCTCTGCTGCTGTGCAGCCTTGCTCTGTGGCGGAAACTTCATTTTCGAGAGTGAGCCGGAATATGATGATATGGATGGAGGAAATGCGCACACATGTGTCTGTGTGCTGTCTGTGCGTGCGTCAGCCTGCGATGAGCTGCTGGCCACCCTTCCTGGCATCGCCAGCCCCCGCGAACCAGTGCTCGACGCGACGATTGAGTCAGCCGATCTGTTCCTTCAAGACCTGACCGGCAACGTGCCCTCGCCCATACCTGACGACATCGTGCAAAGCGAGGGTCTGACCTTCTATATCCTGTTCAGGATTCTCAGCAACCTCTACAACGCGCCCTGCATGGGTGTGGACTCGCTGCCTGACCCGCCCATTCCCGGATGGACCACCACCAGCTTCCTCAACCTCGTCGAGACTCGTGAGTTGACGGATTTTGCGGGTCTCTGTCTGATGTCCATGCTTCGTGTCTGCGCGCAGCCGAGTTGGAGGATGGTGGTCTGCGAGAAACGCCCTTTGTTCAAGTGGTGGAAAAGGACGACGGCGAAGAGCTTTTGATTATCGTGCGGGGCACGGTGACATTGACAGAAGGGCGGCTGCTGACCTTTGACGATCAAGTGTCCTTCTTTGACATCATCGAGGGCTCGAGCACCTCTGCGGCAGCCGATCCCATGATTCGGGAAGGCTATGGGGAGCTTTTGCGAGCCGTGTTTCCGTCACTGAGGCGGATTGTGGAAGCATCGATGGCCGAGAGGGTCGTTGTCACTGGATTCTCGCTCGGTATGGAACGACACGGCAGACGCGTCGCATTGGGCCTCTCTCTTTGTATTGCGCATGATGCCTTCAGGTTCAACTGTGGCCAGCTACATTGCCCTCGGCCTCGCAACGACCTTTTCAGACAGCCGTGTGGACCTGGTCGCCTTCTCGCCCCTCCGTGGCTTCGACCAAACCTTCGCCGATCTCCTGGTGGAGACACTCAACGTCCGCAGCCTTGCATTTGAGTTCGACTTCATACCGGAGGCTGGCTGCGAGACATTTCCCGGGTGCAGTGCCGATGAGACGCCCAAAGACGAGCTGCGCATTGTTGAATACGTCGACTTTCCCGGACGAGTTGAAATCAGCGGAGAGGAGATTGGGGAGCCAAACGACATCAACAGCCCGCTTCAGGTGTGGCCGGCGCACCTTTGCTCGTACCTGTGTTGGGCGGTGAGGAACTTCCAGCCTGAAGATGAGGTCGACTGGTGCGAAAGGGCGCCACGAGGAGGAAACATGGGGGGTGTGAGCGAGGCCAGCATCTGCCCTTACTCTGTTGAGAGACTGCCGTTGCTATAGGTAGGTAGCTAGGGAGGACACGGACGTGTGTGTGTGACGTGAGACGATCAACCTAGGTCCATGCGGTGCTTTCATGTCGCCCAACCGGGGCTAATTTAGATGGATGGATTGGATGTCAGCCAGGGTCGGGCTAGCCGGTCTGTCTGTCACTTCCTCTGCTGCTCTGGTGTGCGTGCGTTTCGGACTCCAAATTCGGGTGGTCCCTGATGGATTTGCTGCTGATTGACCTGGTTTCTCTGCTGCCACGGTGTCGCATTCACTCTTAGGGACAATGGTCGACACCCACACGACACCCACACACATGAGATTCCTTGCGCGTCCCTCCATTCATTCATCTCAGCGATTAGAAAAAACGACCCACCCATCCTCACACATCGTCACATGACGTCACGAGAGCGACACACTTGATTGATTCACACCACACTCTACACACCGCACACACACGAGCCTACACGCTACCTAGGCCCTCACACTTGAACGAACTTGCATTGCGATCTCTCTCTCCCCCACTCTCCCGTCTCTCTCTCCATCGACTTGCTTGCCTGGGGCACTCATCACTCACACGCATCTGATCAGCAAAAAGACTTAGTTGGGCCACACAGCAGAGACAGACAGACACCGACAGACAGACAGACAGACAGACAGACAGGTGGCAAGCCAATAAAGGCACTTGGCTGGTAGAGCAGAGCAGGAAGTGCCGGACGCAGGCAGGCAGGCAGGCAGGCAGTCTTTCCATCCACTCATTTGTTCGTTCGTTGGTCTCACGTCACTCACCGTCCTCTATCCCTGGGCAGCCGGCAAAAGCTCGTGACTTGAACATGAAAATGCGCCGACGCAGGGGCGCGCTCAGCCAGCAGATCACTCTCATCTCACAAAAAGCACTTGATTCTCTCTCCCCTCCCCTCCTCTCCCACTGTATCTCTCTGCCCACTGTATGAGCACACACTTCTGCCTGCCTGGTTGCCTGTCTGTCTGTCTGTCTGTCTGCCGTCCTATGAGTCCGTCTATTTGCCGAAGGGCAGCCCGTATTCGGCCGGTCGGACGGCGTAGAAGACGGCGGCGGCGAAGACCGAGCCGACGAGGGGTGCCAGCAGGTAGAGGCCGAGGTACGCCAGGCCGGCCCCACTGCCCGACGCAATGGCGTGTGTGATAATGACGCCAATGGAGACGGCCGGGTTGAGCGAGCAGCCCGACACGCCCCCGATGGCGATGGCCGCCGACCCGACGGTGCTGCCGATGGCCAGGCCGAAGTAGTGGTTGGGGGTGTCCTGTTTGGTCGTCGCCACGTTGAGGATCACAAAGCAGAGGGCGCAGGTGTAGAGGATCTCCACCAGGCAGGCCGACCGGATGGCAGCCGCCTTGCCGTCGGCGCTGATGAGGGCCGCGGAGGGCTCGAGTGGGAACGAGTCGCCCAGGACGCCCCAAAATGTGGCGCCCGCGATGAGGCCGGCCAGGCACTGAACGCCCCAGTAGATGCCCGCGTCACGCAGAGAGATCTTCTGGCGACGAGACAGGTACACGGCCAAAGTCACTGCGACACACACACCAACTCAGGAGGAAGTGAGAAACCACACCACATCCGGACACACCAGCCCCTGCGTGTCTCATAGCACCACACCACACCACACACACACTCTTACCGGCAGGATTGTAGTGTGCGCCGGAGACGGAGCCCATGGCGAAGATCATGACCATGAGGATGGCGCCAATCGAGAGGGGCGCCAGCGAGTTTTCCTGGACGACGTTGAGCCCGATCGTCAGCACCAAGAAGTACGTCCCCACGAACTCGGCCACGTAAGCGTCCCAGGCGTAGCTGCTCAGCCTTCCAGCGGCTGGCGACTCGTCAGCCGCGGCCATGACCTTCTTCTGCGGGTGGCTCAGCGTGGCGGAGCCACGGTCGGCGGCAGTGTCTGCACACACAACAGCAACAGGACAGGACAGGACAGGCACCGACGCTCGTGTCTGAGGGGAGGTTGGCCTGTGCAGCACAGCAGGTGTGTACGGTACCGATGCTGACGTCCAGGCTGTGCTCGCTCATACTCTGGCGGTTAGGCAAGGGCGGCGCCCACACACGTCGGACAGACACGGCTGCTGGGGCTAAGGACACGGGGAGGTTCTCAACACCTGAGACCTCAAACGCCTGGACGTTGAGAGCCGTTGGGGTGTCCCACAAGAGAAGGTGCGGGCAGTGCAAAACAGGCACTCAGCTCAGGGAACGGTCCTGCACGAGCCCACGCAGCAGGCTGAAGACAGAATTTAACGAGAACGGAGAAACAGAGACGGCGAGATCTCGAGAGCTCGCAAGCTGAAAAGCTCGCAGCTTGGGTTCCCTTGATGCCGCACCCAGGGATGGACCGCTCCCCGAATGCTCCTCTCGCTCCTTCAGAAGATCTGTACCATCAGACTACGGCATCTCTCGAGCACCTGACGCAGAAGGATGAAGGAGGGAGAGGCATTCGGCAGCTGCTGGGACCGGAAACAGGTACGGATGACCACACACGGTACACCGGAGGTCTGGAGGAACGCACAGCTGTCCTGTGGTCGTGTGTTGCATCTTCAGATGACGGCCTTCGTCGCAGCGCGTTCCTCCTGTCCCAGCCACACGTGCGGAGGGTTGGGATCCTCACAGGCTTCCCATGCAACCGAGACTCGCACCCTCCGACGGAAACCGATGGCCCGCCGGGAGCGCTCGCCGTGGCCAAGTGTCTGCTGCGGGGTCACAAGGAGGCCGTCGTCCTCTTGACCGACGGCATCAACGAGGCTCCCCTCCTGGCAGCTGTGGCGGCCCATCCCTACCTGCACAAGGCGCTGGCAAACAAGCGGCTGACGGTGGAGTCTTTCCATCCAGCTGAGTTCTGCGAGAACGGCTCGTGTATTGCGTCAGTCCCCCTTCACAAGCTCGCTGATCGTCGGCAGCTTCCCGGCGTGAGGCGGTTGAGGGCTTTGTGGGAGGAGCTTGACCACCTGGTGGCTGTTGAGAGGTCGGGGCGTGCGGCTGATGGTCGCTACTACACCATGAGGGGGCTGGATATGACGTCAGATGTGGCGCCTCTGGACATCCTGTTCCACTGGTCGCTGACCGGGCCGCAGGACGGGATCCGCCCCCTCACCACTGCCATCGGCGACGGCGGCAATGAGCTAGGCCTCGGCAAGGTAGCCCACAGGACCGCCCAGCACATCCCCAAAGGTGCGCAGATCGCCTGTGCGGTGTCCTGCCATTCTCTCATCGTCGCGAGTGTGTCCAACTGGGGCGCATACGCCCTCGCCGCCCTCACGAGCGCTCTCATGGTGTTCGCTGGCGATGGCTCCTTCTCCTTCGATGAGCTCTTCACCACTGATGCGGACGAGCGACAGGTGGCTGCTGCCCTCTGTGAGGCTGGTGTGCGGGATGGCGCCACCAAGGAGCTGGCGATGACGGTTGATGGGTTCCCGATGCACGAGACGTTCAAGCGAGTGGATAGGATGCGGGAGATAGTGTCGTGTCTGATCGTTGAGGGCCGCCGGGACAGCATGATGGGCGGTTGAGTGAGAGGTCGCCTTTCGACCTTTCGTGTGTATGGGTGTGTGGTGGTCTGCCTGAGGCCCCTCCGACGAGTATGCTCATTCTTCATCGGACTGTCTTTTTGCGTCCAGCGGTGCCTGGTTTATCTGTCGTTCCATCTGGCCCTGCCCGCATACTGTCTTTCCATCTGTTTGTGTCGGTTCTGTCGTCGTTCTGGGATGCGTAATGGTAATGGGCTGCGGCATGAGCTGGCAGGCTGTCTGTGGAGGTCAGATGGGTCTGTTGGTGGTGTCGTCGCCTCGTTCAGACAGGCGAGATGGCGGTCCCACTTGCGCACCTTCTCTTCTCTGCCACACTGCCTGCTTCGGTCAAACCGCAAGGCTGGGTTACGCGTGTATGAGGTCAAGACACAAGGGTTCGTGTGTGGATTGAAGGATCGTGCCACATATCTCATTATCTCGTCGCGTGCAATGGAATCTTATAAATGGAGGGGGAGTGAGACAAGGGGGAAAAGGGACACGGAGACGGGCATGTGCACATCAGCGCAGACAGTGCAGAGATCGACACACACACGTGGGGAATGGAGCACGTGTCATGCACACGACACACACACACAACACGGCGGTAGGAGAAAGCGCACTCCTGCACCTATTTGTGAAGGAATGCGTGTTTGTGGTGCCATCAAAGCAGGCGCCTTCTAAAAAAAGGGAGGAGACCAGACAGTGAGACACACGGACCGAACGAAGAAACACATACTCAGTGCGCTTCGCATGCCTTGGCGCCTTGCCGCAGCAGCAGGAAGGCATTGGCAGCGAGCAAATTCCCTCAGTCAGCAACGAGAGTGCAATAGGAACCAATTAGGACCAAGAGACAATTGAGGAAGAACCAGACAAGAGAATACAGCAAAGACGTCGAGAGCGAGAGCAGAGCAGAGAAGGAGAGCCCCCAATGCTGCCACGGGTGCTTCATTGCGACAGACAAACACTCACACCCAGACCCATTCATTCCTGTCTGCGTGAGATTCAAAAAGGTTCACACACGTACACTTATAAATGCACACACACACACGCACAGAGAGGCAGAGAGACACGTACATCACAGCGCGTCGAGGGCCATGCCGAGCCCCTTCTCGAGATCGTCGGTCACCCAGGCAGAAATCGGGCACTTCTCCGTCCAGGTGCTTCTGAACTTCCTCAGCTTGCCGTGCAAAGGCATACCAGAGGGCGCACTTTGGCGGCCATCGCCAGCAGCATCAAGGAGAGCAGCATTCAATTTGGGACATGCATCAAGGAGCATTCAATTTGAGACGGGAGAGAAGGGAAACACGCGATCCACTGGCAGTGCCACCTGGGCCTGGGGGCTGATGGTTGGGACTCCGCGCGGCAGCGGTCTCATTGCGATCCGCTGCGCCATTTCCTCAGGGTGTTTTCGGATGGCAAAATTCTCGACTGATGCGAGACGGGACGTCTCTCATGGAAAAAAGCGTGATTTCATCCATTTTTCCCCTCTGTAGCCATCCTGCTGCTTTCTCTCCTCATCCTTTCTCTTTGGGCCGCCGGAACGGTGGGGAGATGTCGTGCACAAGAACTGGGCGTTTCTGGTACGCAAGAAAGAAGATGGGCACGCTGTGGACGGCGTCGATGCATTCACTGCGTGCATGGTTGTTCCTTTCTCCCTGTCAGTTTGACCTCGCGACGCGTGGAGTGAAGGTCCTCGGTGGCGGCGAAGAGAGTGTCGTCCTCGCCGCACACAGCAGGCGCCGAGTGGGCGACTTCGCCATGAAGGTGTACCGAGTCACTTCAGGCCCCCACCGCGTCAAGGTACCATGGCTGCGTACGTGAATGCATCAGTACATGATGTGCGTGTCCTATGCAGATCTTGTGCGACACCGGCTTGCAGGCGTCTTCAAGTTCGTGTGAAAGATGGCTCAGCGAGACCGTCGAGGTCATTATGCGAGGCTGGGTGTGCCGCCGAGTGCCACCTAGGGGCAGATCAAGGCCGCGTACCGCCGACTTGCGCTGGTAAGCGAATGGTCACTCTGGAGGAGGAGAGGAAAGCAGGGAGGCACCAGGGAGGCACCAGCAAGGCAGCATGGGACCCGGTGCAGGAGCGCCAGTCAGCAGAGTGCAGAAGCCTTTTGCACTGACACATCCAGAAGGGCCCACCAGCACCGCAGAAACAGCATGCTTCTCTCTCTCTCTCTCTTTGTCTTTGTGTGGATGTCTGTGCAGGCCAACCACCCGGACAAGGGTGGAGACGAGGCGGCCTTTCAGGCCATCTCCGAGGCCCACGAGGCCCTTACGGGTCTCTCTGGTGGGGGGGCTGCAAGCGACGGCAGGGTAAGAGAGAGAGACAGACGAGTGTTGTGCTCCTGGGGAATGAGCCAACGGATGTACGTCTTCCTTGCTGTCTTCAGCAGCGGGATGGCCCGTACCCATATGGGTGCAGGACCTTCCGTGAGTGGTACGAGCCTCCGGAGGCGGTGAGTCTGGCAAAGCTTCTCCTCACCACCAGGCATATCACTTGGTGTCTCTGTCTTTGTTTTCGGTTATCGTCTGTTGTTCAGGCGGCCACTGCGCAGAAGTGTCGGGAAGAGAAGGAGGCCGAGCTTCCGAAGCTGCGGGCTATGTTGGCAGAGGTACGTATGACTGAGACCAATGAGACACTGAAGCGCCCCACCCGAAGATTTTCTCACTTTTGATATCTGTGTGCGTTTTGGATAATGCAGAGAGAGAGGAAAAGGAAGGAGGAGGCCAAGAAAGCCGCTGCCGCGGCAGCGTCGAGCCCGGCCATGCCGCCCCCCACCGCGCAAGCCAGCGCAACGGCGCATCCGCCGAGGACGACGGCGAGTCGCCTGAACTGCCCACTAACAGCCTCCGTCGGGGAGCTGCCGACAGGTCTCGTGTGACGAGGCCCGAGGGCTTCAAAGCACCCCCTGTTGGCCCGGCTACAGGACGCCTGTGGGCTGCAGCTGCCGCACCACCGCCCTTCTACCAGTGGCGCCCACCGCCACCGCCGCCCCACCCCTACATTAGGATGCCAGATGCTCTCCGAAGGCGCCAGCGGCCAGGGTGGTGGAGGAGGATGAAGAGGAGGAGGACAAAGACGACGGTCGGCGTGTTGTACGGAGGTGGCCCTTCCGCTGCTGTCGGTGAAGGGTCGCGAGGGGGGGGAGGAGGGTATTGTCGTGTATTTTCTGGAGGGGGACTCTTCAGCTAATGTCGTGCCGCGATGCCGTCGAGGGGCGCCGCATCACTTGTTGATGGGGTTCGTGAACTTAGGACGGCCTCTCGCGGCGGCTGGCCGGCTGGCCTCCCGTGTGCGGGCCTTGTGGGCGGAGGTACGTATGACTGAGACCAATGAGACCCAGAAGCGTCCCCACCCGAAGATTTCTCTTTTTGATGTCTGTGTATGTTTTGGATAATGCAGCGAGAGGGGAAGAGGGATGAGGCCAAGAAAGCCGCTGCTGCGGCAGCGTCGAGCCCGGCCAAGCCGCCCCCAACCGCCCAACTACCACTGGCGCGCACCGCCACCGCCGCCCCACCCCTACATTTGGATGGCCAGATGCTCTCCGAGGGCGCCCGCGGCCAGGGTGGTGGAGGATGATGAAGAGGAGGAGGACAGAGACGATCCTCGGCCTGTCGTACGGAGGTGGCTCTTCCGCTGCTGTCGGTGAATACAAAGTACAAACAGACACCGACGTGCGGACAAACAGACACAACACAACACAACACAGGGCATGTGTGGTGTTTGTGTGCGCAGGGTGAAGCGGAGAAGCAAGGGCCGCACGAGCCACGCGTCGCAGGCAGAGTTTGCGGCCGTCACCACGACTATCAGACAGCACAACGGCACACAAAAGCACTTCGTAAGCCACAGAGGGAGACACCCATGCGTCCGTTTATATCCGTGTGCCCTGACGTCCTCACACAGACGTTCAAGATTGCGTTCCATTTTTTCGGCCAGAAGCGACCTCACTGTGGCGGCGTTCCGTCAACTGGGACAACTTCTGTCGGCTCATTGCCCCTGTATACCGCTGAAAGACATTCATCAAGGTAAAGAATAGTGTCGCCCACAAACACACGCGACCGCCTTCACACGCGCCACACACGGCAAGCAGTCATGTGTGTCGTTCTCTCTCGGCCGCTGTGCTTGTGAACGTGCAGGATGTCGACAAGAAGGAGGGGGGATTCTCGTGGCTGAAGCCGCTCTCCTGGTTCACCACCTGCCTCTCGCCAAGATACTGCTGAGAGACATGCACGCAATTGCATGCACGGCCGCTTTCTACGTGTCGGCTACCCACGCGTAGCAAGTGTGCATGTTCGTCTTGAGATTCGTGTGAAAGATGGCTGAGCGAGACCGTCGAGGTCATTATGCGAGGCTGGGTGTACCGCCGAGTGCCTCCTAGGGGCAGATCAAGGCCGCGTACCGCCGGCTTGCTCTGGTAAGCGAGTGGTCACTCTGGAGAAGGAGAGGGGATCAGCGAGGCACCAGGGGGGCACCAGCAAGGCACCAGCAGGGCAGCATGAGTGCAGGAGCGCCAGTCAGCAGAGTGCAGAAGCCTTTTGCACTGACACATCCAGAGGGGCCCACTAACACCGCAGAAACAGCCTGCTTCACTCTCCTCTCTCTCCCTCTCTCTCTTTTTGTCTTTCGTGTGGATGTCTGTGCAGGCCAACCACCCAGACAAGGGTGGGGACAAGGCGGCCTTTCAGGCCATCTCCGAGGCCCACGAGGCCCTTACGGGTCTCTCTGGTGGGGGGGCTGCAAGCGACGGCAGGGTAAGAGAGAGAGACAGACGAGTGTCGTGCGCCTTCGGAATGAGCCAACGGATGTACGTCTTCCTTGCTGTCTTCAGCAGCGGGATGGCCCATGCCCATACGGGTACCGGACTTTTCGTGAGTGGCAAGAGTCTCCGGAGGCGGTGAGTCTGGCAAAAGATTCTCCTCCCCACTGGGCATATCACTTGGTGTCTCTGTCTTTGTATTCGGTTATCGTCTGTTGTTCAGGCGGCCACTGCGCGGGAGACGCGCGAATGGAGGGAGGCCGAGATTCGTAAGGCGCAGGCCTTGTTGGCGGAGGTGCGTAGGACTGAGACCAATGAGACACTGAAGCGCCCCACCCGAACCTCTCTCACTTTTGATGTCTGTGTGCTCTGGCCATAATGCAGAGAGAGAGGAAAAGGAAGGAGGAGGCCAAGAAAGCCGCTGCCGCGGCAGCGCCGAGCCCGGCCAAGCCGCCCCCCACCGCCCAAGGCACCAAGCGCAAGGGTGCATCCGCCGAGGACAAGGCCGAGCCGTCTAGATCCCCCACCAACGGCGTTGAGCGGGGAGCTGCCGACAGGTCTCGTGTGACGAGGCCCGAGGGCTTCAAAGCACCCCCTGTTGGCCCGGCTACGAAACGCCCGTGGGCTGCAGCTGCCGCACCACCGCCCAACTACCAGTGGCGCTCACCGCCACCGCCGCCCCACCCCTACATTAGGATGGCCAGATGCTCTCCGAAGGCGCCAGCGGCCAGGGTGGTGGAGGAGGATGAAGAGGAGGAGGAGGACAAAGACGACGGTCGGCGTGTTGTACGGAGGTGGCCCTTCCGCTGCTGTCGGTGAAGGGTCGCGAGGGGGGGGAGGAGGGCATTGTCGTGTATTTTCTGGAGGGGAACTCTTTAGCCTGTCGTGCCGTGTTGTGTGGATGTCTGCAGTGCTAAGGGGGGACTGTCTGTGTGTCGCCTGACAAGTGACAAGTCATGTGTGTCTGTGCAGCTGCCTCATGCAATCGATGCAATCGCCAGGCAGCCAGTCTGGCTATCGCTGCCTACGTTTTATATCTGCTATTTCCGTTTATTCACTTCTCTCGCTTTATGCGCGTGTGTGTAAGTGGGGGGAGGG